AAGACCTGACATTAGGAAATACATAGAAGAAATTATAGGTCAAATATTTTTTAGCATCAGTTTTAGACATATGTTTGAGGAGCTGTCTCCAATCCAAGGGAAACCAGAGCAAAATAAAATAAAAAAACATGGGACTACATCAAGCTAAAAAACTAGTACTAAGCAAGAACTTATTAAGTTAAAAGACAACCTACTGAATGGGAGTAGATATTTGTACATCTTAAGTTAAAAAAGGGATTTCTATCCAAATTATGGAAGGAAATCAAGTTCAGCAAAAGGAAAAACCTAATACCAAACTGGGCTGAGGACTGAAATAAATATTTTTCTGAGAAGAAATACAAATGATTAATGGGTACATGAAAAGATGTTCATAAACTCATTACTAGAGAAACTTAATTCAACTAACTTTGAAGCTTTTCAACTAACTTTGAAGGGAGAGGGAAGTCTTTAAATTCTATTGGTGGAAATGCACCTGGTGCACCAATCATGGAAAAATAGTGTGACTATTTTTCAAGAAAAGTAAAATAGAAACTACACATAATTCTGTAAACAGATAATCCTATTCTGGGTATTTCCTCTAAAAATATCAAAACAAAATTCAAAGGCATATGAACATCTTTGTAATTTTGTATCTCATAGTCTGAGATGCAAAATTACAAAGCTGTTCAATAAATTAAAATAAAAATTATTCAATAAATCAAAATCAAAATAGTAAATATACATTATTATATTTCTTTATGCACACAGAAAACTCATGTAAAGCTTTAATGCAATGTTATTTTAGTTTTAGAACACTTCCAAATAAACATGAACCCTAACACTGCCAAAGGGAGAGAGAGAGAGAAAGAGAGGAAGAGAGAGAGAGATTAATTCTAACTTTTGCAGAGAAAGACCAGTAGATAGAAGCACTTATGTCCAGAAATAGGAAAAGAACAGTGTTGGGGGATGAAACTGTTACTTTGAAGTCACATTATAATGAAAGAACTAGACAAGGATATAATAATGATACATAGAAATACAGTAACTCATCTTGCGTGAAGAAATAAATACAATTCAATAAGAAAGATGAGCTTTTACTTTATGCCACGGAACATCAAAACCTCGAGGAAATGGATAAATTCCTAGACTCCTACAGACTCCCAAGGCTGAACCAAGAAGACCTGGAATACCTGAACAGACCTATCACCATCAAGGAAATTGAAATGGTAATAAAAAGTCTCCCCAAGCACAAAAGTCCTGGCCCGGATGGATTCACTAGTGAATTCTTCCAAATCTTTAAAGAGGACTTACTCCCAATGCTCTTTAAGCTTTTCCACGAAATTGAAATATCAAAAACACTTCCAAACAGTTTCTACGAAGCAAATATCACACTGATACCAAAAGCAGACAGAGATACCACAAAGAAAGAGAATTACAGGCCGATATCCCTGATGAACACAGATGCAAAGATCCTCAACAAACTACTAGCAAATAGAATCCAACTACTCATTAAAAAGATCATACACCATGACCAAGTAGGATTCATCCCAGGGATGCAAGGATGGTTTAACATTCGGAAATCAATCAACGTAATCCACCATATCAACAAAAGAAAAGATAAAAAGCATATGATCATATCAATAGATGCAGAGAAAGCATTTGATAAGATCCAGCACCCCTTTATGATGAAAACCCTAGCCAAAATGGGTATAGAGGGGACCTTCCTCAACATAATTAAAGCCATCTACCACAAGCCTACAGCAAGCATCATCCTCAATGGGGAAAAACTGAGAGCCTTCCCTCTAAGATCAGGGACGAGACAGGGATGCCCACTCTCTCCACTGCTGTTCAACATAGTACTGGAAGTACTTGCAATAGCGATTAGGCAGGAAAAAGATATTAAGGGCATTCAGGTAGGAAAGGAAGAAATCAAGCTCTCACTATTCGCAGATGATATGATACTCTACTTAGAGAACCCAATAACTTCCACCAAAAAACTCCTAGAAACAATAGACTCGTATAGTAAAGTTGCAGGTTATAAAATCAATACCCAAAAGTCCATGGCTTTCCTATACGCAAACAGTGAGAGAGAAGAAAGCAACATGAAAAAAACAATCCCATTCACAATTGTGCCCCAGAAAATCAAGTACCTAGGAATCAGCTTAACTAAGGAAGTAAAGGACCTGTACAAAGAAAACTACAAAACGCTACTTCAGGAAATAAAAGAGGACATGAGGAAATGGAAAGATATCCCCTGCTCATGGGTCGGGAGACTTAACATTGTCAAAATGGCAATACTACCGAAAGCATTGTATAAATTCAATGCAATCCCTATAAGGATACCCATGACATTCTTCAAAGAAATGGAGCAAACACTCTTGAAATTTATATGGAACAATAAGCCCCCACGAATAGCTAAAGCAATTCTTGGGAAAAAGAAAATGGGAGGAATCAACCTCCCGAACTTCAAACTGTACTACAAAGCAGTAATAATTAAAACAGCATGGTACTGGAACAAAGGCAGAACTGCAGACCAATGGAACAGGGTTGAATACACTGACATCTCTCCTCAATCATATGCTCATCTAATCTTTGATAAAGGTGCAAGTAATGTGAAGTGGAGTAAGGAAAGCCTCTTTAATAAATTGTGTTGGCATCACTGGACGGCTACATGCAAAAAAATAGGCTCAGAACTCTGCCTAACACCATGTACAAAAGTAAGATCAAAATGGATTAAAGACCTCAACATCAGACCAGAAACCATAAGGTACATTGAAGATAAAGTTGGCAAAACCCTCCATGACATTGAAGCTAATGGTATCTTCAAAGATGCCACGCCACTGGCCGAGCAAGTGAAAACAGAGATAGATAAATGGGACTATCTTAAACTAAGAAGCTTCTGCACCTCCAAAGAAACAGTGACCAAAATACAAAGACAGTCTACAGAATGGGAAAGGATATTCACTGAATACACATCTGACAAGGGGTTGATATCCAGGATATACAAAATACTGGTTAAACTCCACAAGAAGAAAACATCCAACCCCATCCAAAAATGGGGCAATGAAATGAACAGAAACTTTCTCAAAGAAGAAATCCGAATGGCAAAAAAGCACATGAGAAAATGCTCTACATCATTAATCATCAGGGAGATGCAGATCAAAACCACAATGAGATACCATCTCACACCTCAGAGACTGGCCCACATTCAAAAGAACAAAAGCAACCGATGCTGGCGTGGATGTGGCGAGAAAGGGACACTCCTTCACTGTTGGTGGGAATGTCCACTGGTTCAGCCCTTCTGGAAAACAGTATGGACGATTCTCAAAAAATTAGAAATTGAGCTCCCATTTGACCCAGCAATACCACTCCTGGGAATATATCCCAGAGAGGCAAAAATGTATAGTCGAAGTGACATCTGCACTTGTTTGTTCATTGCAGCACTCTTTACAATAGCCAGAAACTGGAAGAAACCTGAATGCCCAAGAACAGATGACTGGTTAAAGAAACTTTGGTACATCTACACAATGGAGTACTATGTAGCTCTTAGAAAAGATGAAGTCATGAAATTTACATACAAGTGGTACAATATGGAAAGTATCATGCTAAGCGAAATGAGTCAGAAAGAGAGGGATAGACATAGAAAAATTGCATTCATCTGGGGGATATAAAGTAACAAAGTATGAGATTAATACCCAAGAATAGCTGAGATCAGCACCAGGAGGATTACTCCATAACTTAGAGGCCAGCGGGTATCCTAGAGGAAAGGGCTGTCCAGATAGAGAAGGGAGCACCAAATAAACGATGTTTGGAGGATCCTCCCAGGAGGGGAGATGCATGTCGAAAGTAGACTATGGACTGAACATGTTTGCCACTCAATGCCTCTTTTGCAGACCACAACACCCAAAAGGAGAGAGAGAACACAGGGGATTGCCCTGCCACAGAGACAGGGGGGATGGGGGGATGGGGGTGGGAGGGATATTATCCATGGTGGTGGAAAATGGGCACTGGTGGAGGGATGGGTATCTGATCATTGTATAATTGAAACCAAAGCACAAAAAATTGTAAATCTACAACTTTAAAAAAAATAAAATAAAATAAAGGGGAAAAAAAATAAAGCACAATGCTGTGATAAAAAGAAAAAAAAAAAAAGAAAGATGAGCTTTTACAACAAGGTAAAGGTAAAGGCCCTCCCGTTGATCGTCGATTTGCTCGAGCGGGCCCAGTAACGTCTCCATTGGAGACTTTGTTGTTACTGTGTCTGGCATATCGAATACTCTCGGTAGCTTGCCGGGCTCTCCGAATGATGTTGAAATAACGGGACACACATATGCAAAAAGATATGAATCCAGACAGATCTTAAACCTTTTAGGTAAGTTAATTAAAATGAAATACAGATAACTAGAATATTCAAAACCTAGTTTTATAATTTCTAGAATATAACATAAAAAATCTGCATGTCTGGACAGGAACTCAACTGTGTAAATCCAGATTTAAATCTGGTACCCTCACCTCTTGCGACAAAGGAAGAGTTAAAAACCCACTGCTCTCTGTGCAAATCTATGATGGATAGACCCCTCCTTTGTCCTAGAGTTATGGTGTAGAGATTTAATATAGAGTATTAAATAAAGCAAATCACTCATACATAAATTGTATGTATACCATCAATGCAGAAAAGTGCACACATAGTAAGTGCAATGAATTTGATTGAAGTTGATATATGCATTTAACAAGCAGATGGAATAGAAAATTAGTACATAACAACAATCTGATCACCCAAAGAGCAATTAAAGGAGCTATGCTTGGAGTATCACACTTCACTCAAGTGAGAGAAGGAATCCAGAGTTCCAACCTCCATTGCCGATGGAAGATCAGGGACACCGCCTCATTTGCCAAGGTGTCGAAAATCAGAAGGGTCGGACATGTAATGCGATTTGGAGACGACTGCTGGACTAGAGCCATTACCGACTGGATTCCACGGGATGTCAAAAGAACACCTGGTGATTGCACTACACTGAGCTCCATAGAGACAGCGCCGGGGCAAGTGAGAGCCCGACGGGCACTGGGCGACTTTGTGCTTTGCTGAGGAAAATAATTAAACACGGGCAAAGGAGATCCTATAAAGCTGAGAGGCAAAATGTCATCATATGCATTCTTTGTGCAAACTTGCCAGGAGGAGCACAAGAAGAAGCACCCAGATATTTCCGTCAACTTTTCAGAGTTTTCTTAGAAGTGTTCAGAGAGGTGGAAGACTATGTCTGCTAAAGAGAAAGGAAAATTTGAAGACATGGCAAAAGCTGACAAGGCCCGTTATGAAAGAGAAATGAAAACTTATATCCCTCCTAAAGGGGAAACAAAAAAATTCAAGGATCTCAATGCACCCAAGAGGCTTCCTTTGGCCGTTTTCTTGTTTTGTTCTGAGTATCGCCCAAAAATCAAAGGAGAGCATCCTGACGGGTCTATTGGTGATGTTGCAAAGAAACTGGGAGAAATGTGGAACAACACTGCTGCAGATGATAAGCAGCCTTACGAAAAGAAGGCTGTCAAGCTGAAGGAGAAATACAAAAAAGATATTGCTGCATACCGAGCTAAAGGAAAGCCTGATGTGGCCAAGAAGGGAGGTTTTTTTTTTTTAATTTTTATTAGTGAGACACCATGAGGTACAGTTGTAGTCTTACAAATTTTGTGCTTGGGTTTCAATTATACAATGATCAAATACCCATCCCTCCACCAGTGCCCATTTCCCACCACCACGGATCCCAGTATCCCTCCCACCCCCTATACCCCCCATGTCTCTGTGGTAGGGCATTTCCCTCTGTTTTCTCTCTCCTTTTGGGTGTTGTGGTTTGCAAAAGAGGCATTGAGTGGCAATCATATTTGGTCTATAGTCTACTTTCAGCATTCTTCTCCCATCCTGGGAGAATCCTCCCAACACAAGGGAGTTGTTAAAGCTGAAAAGAGCAATGAAAAGCAGGAAGAGGAGGAAGATGAAGAAGATGAAGAGGACGAGGAAGAAGAGGAAGATGAAGAAGATGAAGATGAAGAAGAAGACGACGATGATGAATAAGTCAGTTCTAGAACAGTTTTTTTCCTTGTCTATAAAGCATTTAACCCCCCCTGTACACAACTCACTCCTTTTAAAAAAAATTGAAATGTAAGACTGTGTAATATTTGTTTTTAAACTGTATAGTGTCTTTTTTTGTATAGTTAACACACTACTGAATGTGTCTTTGGATAGCCCTGTCCCGGTGATATTTTCAATAGCCACTAACCTTGCTTGTTACAATATGGGGTTGTAATTTGGTGTGGAAATTTAAATCAGGTTCTTGTTGGTGCACAGCACAAATTAGTTATATATGGGGATGGTAATTTTTTTTCATCTTCAGTTGTCTCTGATGCAGCTTATACGAAATAATTGTTGTTCTGTTCACTGAATACCACTCTGTAATTTCAAAAGAAAAAGAAAGAAGTTGCAGCTGTTTTGTTGACATTCTGAATGCTTCTAAGTAAATACAATTTCTTTATTAGAAAAAAAAGAAAAAGAACACCGGGCTGCCCACCTACGAGATGGTCGGACTTCTTCATCAAGACCCTGAACAAACGGTTTAATGTTCTTTGTGTTCCTGGAGTGAGCAGACGCCATTGGGCTACATTAGCATGAGACAGGGTCAAATGGAGACGTTACTGGAGCCTGTCTGAGCAAATCGATGAACAAGGAGATGACAAGTGATTACAAGTGATTACAACGACAATCTGCCTAGAGCCTCATTCCTGTCCTGCATCCCTTGGGGGTACATTCTACCCAGTGGCATTAAGTAATACTTACTTTGTGAGTCAGGCTGTTCTCTTAGTCTTACTCAGGAACCTGAATTCCAGGGTAGATTAAGTTGGTCGTAGATTGAGTTTTGTTCATACTTTGGATCATTTTACTGAACCTACTTCTCCAGTGTCTTCCCTCCTATCCGCTTTCCCATACACCTCCAGAGGCCAGCTGTTGATCTTGGCTGCCTCCTGGGAGGGTGTGAGCTCAAGTCTGAGAATATTGAATGCCTTCGTTGAGGAAACATGGGGATGCCAATCTGGACTACAGGTGCACGCTGTCCCCAGCATCCAGCTCTCCCTGTGGGAGAGACTAATTCTGAGCTGAATTAACTCTCTCACATCCAAGACCTCTAGTTTCAAACCTCTCACATTCAAAACCTCTAGTTTCTTATGTGCCAGACTCTTCATTAGAATATTTTTGCATTTATAGTTTTATTCAACTTTTTCTAATGGGCTTGAGCTAGAGTCGCTATTTTCCTAAGTTTACAAGTCAGAGGCTGACATTTCTGAACATGAGGGGGTTTGTTCAAATTTTAAAAGAAATCAAAATCAGTGTTGCTTTGTAACAGTTGAGGACCACTTTGCTGAAACATATAGTGAATTACTTTCCACAACATTCCTACCAACTACTTTCCCCTCCAGCCTAAACCATGTGATTGAATCACTCACTATTTTCACAGATGTCCTTTGCGTTCAAGCCTGTTCTGCATTTTCCTAAGCATAAGCCTTGTCTGTTTTTGACATGCTTAGCCTGTGTCTCCTGCCTGGACAGCTCTGTCTTGCATATATAAATATTTTATTTACCTTTGAAGGCCCAATTTAAATCTTACCTCCCTTGTGACATTTTGTGCTTTTGTACCAAGCTAATCCTAAATATTATCTTTTTTCTTAATCTCTGTACCTGTAATCTCCTATCTATAAGAATATTGAAATTCTGCCCAATGGCCAGGTCAAAGGTTTATGGTCCCTAGAAATGGAAACAAATCTTCTTGGGTAGAATAACCTTTGGAACCAGTTCTTAAAGGAACCGAGTGTTTGGTTATCAAGTTTATGATAATGTAAGAAATTAATCACACATCAATATTTACTGAGTAAGCACTTACTGAGTAGAATTCACTTACTGATTTTATTTTTAAAATTTTAAATAATTCTGGGGAAGGAAGGCCTATGAAGGACTTCTGAGGAACCCCTGGGATTACTTCTGGTGATACTAGGGCAATTGGAACTGATGGTTCTATGCTTGGGCCAACAATATGGTGGTGGTCAGGCTCATGATGTTGTTCAAGCCACTGGTGCTCGGGGACCACCAGGGTTACATCTACAGTGCTAAAGTTCAAATTCTGACTTCTCTTCCTAATCCCTCACTTACTCATTTTAAACAGTAATAAGAACCACCAATTTATTGGTTACAGCATGGAATAATTTATTCTAGAAGGATTTAAAATATGTAAGATTAAAATGAGATTGAAATATTTTTTTCTCAAAGAATTTTCCAGAGATATGTTGCTAGTTCAGAATTGATAGGTGTCTCTGTTTCTAATAACAATAGCAATGAAGATTTCCAGTCTCTCATATCATTTTCTTTACCATCACCTATGGATATAGCAATTACCATGGCCACATTTTAATCTAAAATTATGCTATAAAACCTTTAAAACTATCTATTAAAATATATTTATGTATAAAACATAGGGTTATTGGATGGAGGTTAAGATGGTTAGTAATTATTTTTGATTTTGGGTTTGGGGCCACACACACCTGGTGTTGCTTGGGGTTTTCTCATGGCTATGCACTCAGGGATTTCTCCTGGTGGGGCTTGGGAGGCCATGTGGGGTACCGTTGGAGATAAAATCAGGCTCAACTATGTACAAGGCTAGCATCCTACCCACTGTACTATTGCTTTATTTTCCAGTAATGATTTTTGAAGATTGAGCTGATTCTTCCACTCATGCCATTGGTAGACATGTAGTAATATGAGCACAATTAATTTAGGAGAGATGTAGTAAATGAAGCATTTTTCTGGCAGCCATCTGTCTGTCTAAAGCTAGTGTCACTCTTACCATAAAGAAAAGGGGGAAACAATTACAGGGATTTAGTTAGTACTAGTGAAAAGTTGGGCACCAAATTTATTGGGAACAAACCGTAGAGTATGTTTACGGAGTCAATTCAAGTAGGATTGCTGGGGTCAGAGTAATAAGTCTATCTGTACTACAGGTTACTAAGTCCCCAGAATTGGTGAAAACAGTCAATTCTTGTCTTGCTGTCTCCCCCACCTGGTTCACTTGTCTGTGGTTGCCCCTTCCTGACACTTAACTGTTTATTCCCACAGCACTTCCGTCTCTGCCAGTCTGCAGCAACTTTGATATGTTCCTGGTGTTCTTTTACCTAACAGGATATCCCTCTTGTTTTATTTAACCATTACCTTCATTCAACCTTTTGAGATTATAAACCACATTGCCTTTAATTTCTGAATCGGACACATTCAGATTCAATAAACTTAATGAGTATCAGTATGGGGATAGAATAAGCGTATTGTAAGGAAGAAAAATAGCGGGAGGATTAGTTAACAGTAACAATTCTTTGCCCGACATGCTGATTTAGTCTACTCCTTCTCTGCATTTTTAATCTTGTAGACAAAAGATTGCAAATGCATACAATAGGTTTTGAATATCACTCAATGGCTGTTTCTTACATGGTAATTAAAAAAATTTTACACAAGGAGGACTTATCTATCTCATGTAAACTCTAAAATGTTAAGTTTTAGAACATTTTTAAAAACTGTTTTATTGGTGAATCAACGTGGGGTACAGTTACAGACTTACAAATTTCATGCTTGTGTTTCAGTCATACAATGCTCGTGCATGCATTCCTCCACCAGTGCCCATTCTCCACCACCGATGATGACAGTATCCCTCCTACCCTCCCACCCCATCCCCTTCCACCCCATCCCACCTCTGTGGATGGGCATTCCCTTTTGTTCTCTGTCTGCTTTTGGGTGTTGTGGTTTGCAATAGAGGTATTAAGTGGCTATAGTGTTCAATTTACAGTATACTTTTAGCACACATCTCCCATCCCGACCAGGTCCTCCAACCACACTTTACTTGGTGTTCCCTTCTCTAACTAAGCTGCCTTTTCCCCCAGCATGTGAGGCCGGCTTCCAAGCCGTGGAGCAACTCTCCTGGTACTTATCTCTACCATTCTTGGGTGTTAGTCTCCTATTCTGTTACTTTATATTCCACAGATGAGTGCAATCTTTCTATGTCTGTCTCTCTCTTTCTGGCTCATTTCACTTAGCATGATACTTTCCATGTTGAATCACTTATTTGCAAAGTTCATGACTTCATCTTTTCTAACAGCGTCCATAGTATTCCATTGTGTACATATACCAAAGTTTCTTTAACCAGTCATCTGTTCTCGGGCACTCGGAATTTTTCCAGATTCTGGAATTGTATAGGATAGAAATTTTATAAAAGTTTATTAATGACATGTAAGACTGATGTTAGTGAGAATAGGCATTTTATTATATCATATTAAATGGATTTAATTTCCTTATTTACAACAATCACAAACTGGCTTTCATTGATTTATTTTCTGAGCATTCTATTTACTACTCCTTTAAGTTTGTTGAAGCAAGCGACATAAAGTAAATTTGTTATATGACTAAGGAGGCTGGTTGGAGGGAAACTGTGGACATTGGTGGAGGGAAGTTCACTCTTATAGTGATGTAACACTAAATGCCTGAAACAACTGTATTATGAAAAACTTTGTAAATCATGGTACTTAAATAAAAATAAAAATTCTAATGCTAAAGATTCTATACTTTCATTATTTAAAAGCCAGTGAATATTGGATCTAGCTGAACCTATTTTGGAGGTCACGAAGGAAAAAGTTTTGTTGCTTTCTTACCATTAGGTGCATGAGTGATGTAGCCAGGAATTGAATGTGATTAGTTAGTTAGCTGTCTCCTATAATGAAGGTTTATTCCATAGATATGTTTCATTTCTGTGTGACCACAAAGAAGATATAACAGTGAGCAAAAGTAGTTACTATTCTTACTATTTTCATGGGTTTTCAGTCTAGATGCTGTAAGAATGAGTTTCTTCATCTATGATTAATTGTTTTGTACTTCAGATGGTTTTTCCTACTGGTGACTGCAGTTTATAGACTCTAACTAATGCCCTCAAACAACTCTTGCTCCCTCTCTACTTTTCAGAGCTGGATGCCTTTATAGGTTGACCATTTTGTTTACTAGTCATATTATGTTAAATGATGCTCATTATATTG